ACAGCAAAACCTGGAGCTATTCTGACCCAACATTGTTCTGTTCTCTTCCAGTTGCCTTTGCTGGCCTTGCCTTCTCTGCCTTCTACCTGGCAGGGAAGCTGCACAGCTTCGTCCCAGGCCGGGGGGGCCGGGCCCTGCGCTTCTGTGCCTTCCTCCTGCCCCTCTTCCTCGCCACCCTCATCGCCGTGTCCCGCACCTGTGACTACAAACACCACTGGGAAGGTGGGTGAGCATCTCCTGGTGCACCTGGATGGGCTCAGCAGGTGCCCTGAGCAGGCACAAGGGTTTTGGTGCCACAGAAATGTTCAGACGCCCCAGCAGCAACTTGGGTTTTGTTTTTTCACTCCTCCAGTGGCAATTTTGCTGCCACCTGCAGGGAAATGGTTTTGAAATCCACACCAAGCTTGGGTTTGCAGCTAAATCAGTTTATGGATCTAGCAGAAAAGCTGCTGCTGAGGAATTGATCATGAGGAATTGCTCACAAGGCTTGGGAGGGTGAAGGGCCGTTAACTTTGCTCTGGTCTCACCCACAGATGTGTTGGCTGGCTCAGTGATGGGTTTGCTGCTGGCATACCTGTGCTACAGGCAGTACTACCCTCCCCTGACAGACACCACGTGCCACAAACCATCTCTGGCCAAGCCCAAAGCGCTGCCAGGGCACGAGGAGAAGCCTCCATCTCCCAGCTTCCACATGAACATTTAGTGCCAGGCTCTGTCCTGCCTCTCCCTGGATGCCAGGGCAGGGTGAGGCTGGGGGGAGGCTGCTCAGGAGAAGTGAGGATGAAGCCCTGGGCAGGTGTTCCCTGCTGAGCTGGTGAGTTCCCTGCCCTGGCCCTTGTGTTGCTGCATTTCATTGGATTTTTAGGCCACCCCTTCTTCAGGCCCACTGTGAAATGAGGGGGGCACTCAAGGTGCCAACCTGCACAGAGACAGTTGGGTGTGAAGGTCCTGAACACAACTGGGAAAATGGCCCAGCCCAGTGTGCCCAGTCTGGTGGAAGTTCTTGTATCCAGCCCAGGAAGCACCATTGGCCACCTCTCTGCAGCCCAGCTGAGCTGTCCCAGCCCTTCTCCTGGGAAATGAAGTGCAGGACCTGCCAACTTTGAGCTTTTCTAATGTCCCAAATAAAGGAGTTTAATTTTTGTAATGACCCGTGGTACTAAAACTTTCATTTCAAGGTTTGGGTTGTTGCTTTATAAACCATTTCCTCTGGTGCTTGCAGGGGTTTCTGATGGGTGCTCTTTTCTTGAAGCTTTAGTAGTTTCAAGGAAATGACAGCAAAAAATGAAATAATGGTGTTTGGAAGCATCCCTCATTTCCCTGGTGTGTCTCACACAAGGAAGGGCTGAGTGCTGCTGAGATCCAGGGATCAAAGCTCCTCTGGGAGCAGCTGTTTGTCCCTGGTCCCTTCCAAGACAGATTTCAGCTGTGTGTTCATGCAAACAGCACAGGTGAGGCTGCAGCAGAGCAAGGCAGGTGAGTCAGCAATGAAACACCAACCCATCAGCTGCAGCTTGCACCCTCTGTAACTCTGCAGCTTCAGTAGAATCACAGAAATAGCTTCACTTTCCCCCAGAACTCCACATCTGACTTTTCCAGCCCTTTACTCTCCCCCCGGACATGCACACACCACAGTCACCTACTTATTTATTTTGGCTTTTACTGGAAAAGACATTAAATAACATTTAAAATGTATTTAACTTCCTTTTTTTTTTTAACAAAGTGCATAACTTAAAAAGCTGATCATTAGTGTCCCATGTTAAGACTGTCCCTTTTCCTGCTCCCATGAGATTTCAGCCAGTCAGGTGCTGACCAAGCAGCTTGGCTGTTCCTGCAGTCAGGTACAGAACAGCTTCTGTTCCTTGGGAGGGGAGGAGGGATGGAGGCTGCAAACAAAACCCTTCCAATAGTGCAAATAACAGACAATGGAGGAAAAACAAACCAACAGGCTCTGTGGGGGGAAAAAAGGCTCCTTACCCCATGCAGGGCAAAAGTCAGCAGGAGGGAAAAGTGGTTTGGCTCTCCAAAGGCTGCACAGCAACACCTCACCCAGCACTGGAGCCCCAGGGAAGCATCACAGAGGTTCTCCAGCCCTGCCCCTCAAAAAAGAGCTTCAAGGCAGTGCACACTGAGCTGCCTACAGAGCTGGGGTCATTCCTAGGTGCCCACCCCCTGCTGCATCTGGGCTCCACCTTGCTGGCTGCATTTTGGACATTTAAAGCTAAACCAGGATGGGAGCGTGGAGAGGGCACAGATCTCCGTGCTCAGCTGCTGCTCACACTGCTCTGTGTCCCTGCAGGGCTCAGAGGGCTGGCACTGCCAGCTGGGGGGGAAGCTTTCCTTGGAGCAGGGACAGCAGGGCACTGGCTGGGTCAGGGCTGTGGGGAGGCTCTGGGTGTTCAGGATGGGCTGGGTTGGGGTGGGTTTGGGTGCTGAGCTGTCCCCAGCAGCACTGGGGAGGGTCTGGGTGTTCAGGATGGGCTGGGTTTGGGGTGCTGAGCTGTCCCCAGCAGCACTGGCTGGGTCAGGGCCATGGGGAGGGTCTGGGTGTTCAGGATGGGCTGGGTTGGGCTGGGTTTGGGTGCAGAGCTGTCCCCAGCAGCACTGGGGAGGGTCTGGGTGGGTTGGGTTTGGGGTGCAGAGCTGTCCCCAGCAGCACTGGCTGGGCCAGGGCCATGGGGAGGGTCTGGGTGTTCAGAATGGGCTGGGTTGGGCTGGGTTTGGGGTGCAGAGCTGTCCCCAGCAGCACCCCACAGCAGGGAGGAGCACGAGCATGCCACTCTCACAGGGTGCTTTAGGGGCAGCCCTGCCTGGCTGCAGTGCAGGGGTGCCCAGGGATGCAGCAGGGGTGCCCAGGGATGCAGCAGCAGTGCAGGGGTGCCCAGGGATGCAGCAGCAGTGCAGGGATGATGCTGGCCAGCCCCCATGGCTCAGCAGCTCTCTGTGCCCTGGGTTTCACCTCCTGTGCCCTGCTGGGGGGTTTTGTGTTTTTGTATTAGCACTCAGCAATCTCCCTTGCTCCAAGGCTGCTGCAGCTCTTCCCACGCTGTGTTTAAGGCTTTTTCTCCTCAAGTCCCAGGCTGTGAGTGTCCTCACAGAGCCAGGTGTGGGCTCTGAGCCTGGACAGCTCGTCTGCTGGTGTGGGGGCTCACAGGGTGCAGGCTGAAAGCACACATTGCCACAGGGAGTCACTGTACAGGTGGTGTGTGTGTGTGTGTGTTGGAGCTGAAGTGGTTTTTCCTTGATGGTTTTTCCCCCTAGCCCTAGCCAAAATGGAGGAAAATCCATCCTGTCTCCAGGAAGCAGCATGCAGGACACGGCAGCAGAGGAGAGAGGAAGGCAGAGATGAGATCTGGACTTTCCTGGTGAGTGCTCTGTGGGATTGAACCTGAGAGAGCAAAAGGAGAACACAGCAATAGCTGCAGTCAGAATCCAGCCCCTGGAGCCTCCCTGTTCCTCTCCTCTTGTCTGATCATGGAGGGAAGAGGGAAGACGCCAAAGGTGCTGACAGCAAAAGAAGAAAGCTGACACACGTTCCCTGCCTTAGATAATGGATAATTCTCCCCTAAACCAAGCAGATCTCTGAGGTGTCCTGGGAAATCCAGAAGGGGTTTAGGCAGAGGTGACTTACAGCCAGAAGAGCACAGGTGGGTCACTGGCTCCCTGGTAAAGGCTGGTCCAGTGTGATGCCTTGTGTCTGGTAGATCTCCTTCAGAACCAGCAGCACGGTGTCCTCTGACTCCCTGCAGGGGAGGAAGGGGAATCAGGAGGGAATGGTTCCCTGCACTCTGTGATAGCTGGGGCAGCACCAGGAGAAGCACAAATCTCCTCCCTCTGTCCATGCCCACCCTCTGTGTGTCACAGACAGGACAAAATCTTGCTCCCTCAACCACCTGAGGCTTTTCTCACTACACTGCCTCTGAAACTGATGCCATTCTGCTTCACCACAGGTAAATCTGAAATCCTGAGCATTGCACAGACACTCACCAGTAGCAGAGATGCCCCTGGAGTGCAAACAGATACTCGTTGAAGCTCTCTATGGGCTTCTCCTGCAGCACGTAGTCGATGCGGTTCCCCCCGTTGAGCCTCCCCACGTTGATGGGAGGGGTCTCCTCCTTCACTGCTGCTGGGGGCTCCTCTGCCCTTGTGTCTGCAGGGAGGAGGAGCAGCTGGCTCAGCCCCAGGGCACCAGCAGCCGTGGCAATACAACAGCAGGGCCGTGCCCTCCCTCACTCAGGGGAGAGGCAGCTGAAGTGCCAGGGACACCCAGAGAAGAAGGGTGGGCTTAAAATGTGGTGTGGTGTGCTGAGACCCCCCCAGAAAACCCCTTCATCAGGTGCTAAGAGGGGAAGGCCACAGCATTCAGGGAGATGCAGGTGCCTGGAGTGCCACAGCCACCCTGCCCATCACCTGTGCCCACCTTTGGGCACAGCTCCCACAGCTGCACCCCTGGCTCCCCCATGCCCCAGCACCAACCTGGCTGCTTCTCAGCGCCAGCCTCTGCCTCTGCCTCAGCCTCAGAGCTCCCAGCCTCCAGGGCAAGCACGGGGGAGCGGGTGAAGGACTGCCAGGCCACCCTCAGGGAACCCAGCAGGTTGTTCTTCAGGTCCACGCTCATGCGGGTCAGCCCTTCCTTCAGCTCTGCAAGGCAGGAGGGGGCTGGCTGTGGGGCTGGGGGCTGCAGCAGTGACCCCAGCCCGGGGGAAAGGGGCTGCCTGTGCCTTACCCAGGTGCATCCTCTTCCTGCCCTTGTGGTGGGGCAGCAGCATGGGCTCGAACTCCAGCTCCGGGACGATCATGGGCTCGATCCGATACGCCACAGGGTCAAACTGCACACGAGAGGGGGACAGTGACAGCGGCCAGGGCTCGTGCTCCACCTGTGTGTCACACAGGACACAGCTCTGGCTCTTATACCTACGGGGTGGAAGATGTTGAAGAAGCCCTTGCAGGTGGGCAGGCTGTAGTTGGGGTCGATGCGCTTCACTCCCCGCACCGTGAGGAACATCCCGATGGGAGAGCCAAAGGCAAAGAAGATGCTGGGCTTGTAGTTCAGCTGGGGGTAGTTTGCTGACACCTGGAATGGGGGATGTTCAGATTTGTTCATCAGACAATCCCTGTGCTGTGTCACAAGGGTTTGGGGTGCAGCCAGAGCTGTTGTACCTGTCCCAGGCCAACGTCCCGGTACTGGCAGCTCCTGCCATCCTCAGAGCTGTCCCCAAGCTGGGATGGGGACCCTGGCTCAGCCTCACCTTCACCGTGCCCAGGAGCTGCTGAGCTCCGACCCTGCAGCAGCACAAAGGGGTCCTGGTGTCAGAGGGGTGCAGTGGGGTGGGATGGGATGAGCACAAACCATGTGGAGAACAAACCTTCATCCCTGTCTCAGAGCTGATGTAATGGAGTATTTTCATTCTGGGCCCTAAGGGAATTCCCATTTCTTTCAGGTTGTTCTCTGTGCATAAGAGCTGGAAAATAAGCAAGGCTGGTGTTAGTCCAGGAGCAGAGGGATGGTGAGGAGTCTGTTCTATGGGACTGTGTGAACCTCAGAGATGGTTTGTCACACACATCTTTTATGGAAAATCCTTTCCTCAGGATTTTTCCTCTTGATAAGCTGAGAGGCCTCAGGAACAAAATGTAAACAATGGTTACCTGCTGCTGTGGAATGCAACAGGTACATCTGTGATTGGTCTCATGTGGTTGTTTCTAATTAAAGGCCAATCAAAGTGAGCTGGCTCAGACAGAGAGTCCGAGCCACAAACCTTTGTTATCATCCCTTCCTATTCTATTCTTACCTAGCCTTTTGAAGAAATCCTTTCTTCTATTCCTTTAGAATAGTTTTAGTGTAATATATATATCATAAAATAATAAATCAGCCTTCTGAAACATGGAGTCAGATCCTCATCTCTTCCCTCAGCCTGAGACCCCTGTGAACACCATCACAATGGTTCACGTGTGACTCAGTACCAGGAGATGTGCACAGCTGGGATGATGATGAAGAAAAGCAAAGAAGAGCCACAAGAGCCAGAAAAACAGAGGAACTTCTCACCAGTGCTTGCCTGTCCATTTTCTCCTTCTCAAAAACATCGCAGTACTCAGACAGCTCCAGCTTCTTCAGGATTTCTTTTACCTCCTCAATACCCCCCGTGCTTGAGGTTGTCCTGGACCCCTGTGAACAGATCCAGGAGGGATCACACTTTGTGCTCACCTCTTTGCTCCTGTGCCCCATCCCCATGCAGCTGCAGGAGGGGGCAGTGGCCTCCCCTACCTGCACACAGTGCTCCTTCTCCTCGGGATCAGCCTTCTGGTTCGTCAGGAGATCAAACAAAATGAGTGACCCTAGAAAGCAGGCAGGGGCAGAGCATCAGCACC